AGGATCCCCCTACTGTGCCTTCCTTCGCCTTGACACCCGCCTTGGCGTCGTGGTCCTTCAGCTCCCTGGCGCGCTTGCCTCGCGTGCAGATGCGACTCAGCGTGCCGCGATTAATCTTGAGTGGGGGGGGGGGCGCAGGCGCGCATCTCCGCAGTGATGCACGCCCACTTCGTGCCGTGGAAGACCTCGGCCAGCTCTGTGGTAAGAAGATCCGCTCAAGAATGGTCTTGATGGAACCGGATCCGCCAGTTGACCAGGTGATGGGATCCGGCAGTTGGTGACGATGCCCGGTCCCTCAGATGACGCCATGGTTGCTGGATGGGGGTACGGTTGCCTGGTCAGGGCAGTTGAAGTTGGATCCGGTGCAAGTGGTGTGGTGCACATGGATCCGGTCACCTACATTAGGACCTCCTGGATTAGGACCTCCTGGATTAGGTATGGATCCGTACCAATTTATTGGTACAGTGGCTATGCTAGGATAATTAGGCAGGAAGAAGAGCCAGTAGTGGATAGGATCCAAGCCGGATGGGAAGGCTGGATACAGGCTAACATAAATCAGAGTCGAATTTGCTTGGGAACCACACACTTGGTCCTTAGTATTGGGATTAGTATTGACCCATACTTTAATCAAGTGATTTGCCCCCCCCCGCACACATCACCGTAGACTCTGAAATACATTTCAGAGAACATGGCTCAGCATCTTCAAGCCGTCCGGCTTCTCGGGTCCTTGCGTCTCCTGCGTCTCCTCGTCGGCTTCAACGGCTTCAACGTCTTCGCACAGCATTCGCTGCAGCTCGGTATTGGTGGCGTTCGCAGCGTGGAGCTGTTTGGCGAACAGCGCCACCTTCCTCTTCTCAGCTCGCAACTGGAAGTGCAAGTCAGCCTTTTAACTTTTTTTCGAGTTCGAGCACGCTCTTCAGTACCACAACATGTTTTTCAGCTTTCTCGTACTGCTCTTGAATCTCCTTGTTCTCCCTCTCCAGTAGCTCCAACTTCGTGCGCAGCGTACCGATCTCCTTCTGCTGCTGAGTAGTAGCTACTGTGCCTTTCTTCGCCTTGACACCCGCCTTGGCGTCGTGGTCCTTCAGCTCCCTGGCGCGCTTGCCTCGCGTGCAGATGCGACTCAGCGTGCCGCGATTAATCTTGAGTGGGGGGGGGGGCGCAGGCGCGCATCTCCGCAGTGATGCATGCCCACTTCGTGCCGTGGAAGACCTCGGCCAGCTCTGTGGTAAGAATATCCGCTCAAGAATGGTCTTGATGGAACCGGATCCGCCAGTTGACCAGGTGATGGGATCCGGTAGTTGGTGACGATGCCCGGTCCCTCAGATGACGCCATGGTTGCTGGATGGGGGTACGGTTGCCGGGTCAGGGCAGTTGAAGTTGGATCCGGTGCAAGTGGTGTGGTGCACAATGGATCCGGTCACCTACATTAGGACCTCCTGGATTAGGTATGGATCCGTACCAATTTATTGGTACAGTGGCTATGCTAGGATAATTAGGCAGGAAGAAGAGCCAGTAGTGGATAGGATCCAAGCCGGATGGGAAGGCTGGATACAGGCTAACATAAATCAGAGTCGAATTTGCATGGGAACCACACACTTGGTCCTTAGTATTGGGATTAGTATTGACCCATACTTTAATCAAGTGATTTGCCCCCCCCCGCACACATCACCGTAGACTCTGAAATACATTTCAGAGAACATGGCTCAGCATCTTCAAGCCGTCCGGCTTCTCGGGTCCTTGCGTCTCCTGCGTCTCCTCGTCGGCTTCAACGGCTTCAACGTCTTCGCACAGCATTCGCTGCAGCTCGGTATTGGTGGCGTTCGCAGCGTGGAGCTGTTTGGCGAACAGCGCCACCTTCCTCTTCTCAGCTCGCAACTGGAAGTGCAAGTCAGCCTTTTAACTTTTTTTCGAGTTCGAGCACGCTCTTCAGTACCACAACATGTTTTTCAGCTTTCTCGTACTGCTCTTGAATCTCCTTGTTCTCCCTCTCCAGTAGCTCCAACTTCGTGCGCAGCGTACCGATCTCCTTCTGCTGCTGAGTAGTAGCTACTGTGCCTTCCTTCGCCTTGACACCCGCCTTGGCGTCGTGGTCCTTCAGCTCCCTGGCGCGCTTGCCTCGCGTGCAGATGCGACTCAGCGTGCCGCGATTAATCTTGAGTGGGGGGGGGGGGGGGGGGCAGGCGCGCATCTCCGCAGTGATGCACGCCCACTTCGTGCCGTGGAAGACCTCGGCCAGCTCTGTGGTAAGAAGATCCGCTCAAGAATGGTCTTGATGGAACCGGATCCGCCAGTTGACCAGGTGATGGGATCCGGCAGTTGGTGACGATGCCCGGTCCCTCAGATGACGCCATGGTTGCTGGATGGGGGTACGGTTGCCGGGTCAGGGCAGTTGAAGTTGGATCCGGTGCAAGTGGTGTGGTGCACAATGGATCCGGTCACCTACATTAGGACCTCCTGGATTAGGACCTCCTGGATTAGGTATGGATCCGTACCAATTTATTGGTACAGTGGCTATGCTAGGATAATTAGGCAGGAAGAAGAGCCAGTAGTGGATAGGATCCAAGCCGGATGGGAAGGCTGGATACAGGCTAACATAAATCAGAGTCGAATTTGCATGGGAACCACACACTTGGTCCTTAGTATTGGGATTAGTATTGACCCATACTTTAATCAAGTGATTTGCCCCCCCCCGCACACATCACCGTAGACTCTGAAATACATTTCAGAGAACATGGCTCAGCATCTTCAAGCCGTCCGGCTTCTCGGGTCCTTGCGTCTCCTGCGTCTCCTCGTCGGCTTCAACGGCTTCAACGTCTTCGCACAGCATTCGCTGCAGCTCGGTATTGGTGGCGTTCGCAGCGTGGAGCTGTTTGGCGAACAGCGCCACCTTCCTCTTCTCAGCTCGCAACTGGAAGTGCAAGTCAGCCTTTTAACTTTTTTTCGAGTTCGAGCACGCTCTTCAGTACCACAACATGTTTTTCAGCTTTCTCGTACTGCTCTTGAATCTCCTTGTTCTCCCTCTCCAGTAGCTCCAACTTCGTGCGCAGCGTACCGATCTCCTTCTGCTGCTGAGTAGTAGCTACTGTGCCTTCCTTCGCCTTGACACCCGCCTTGGCGTCGTGGTCCTTCAGCTCCCTGGCGCGCTTGCCTCGCGTGCAGATGCGACTCAGCGTGCCGCGATTAATCTTGAGTGGGGGGGGGCAGGCGCGCATCTCCGCAGTGATGCACGCCCACTTCGTGCCGTGGAAGACCTCGGCCAGCTCTGTGGTAAGAAGATCCGCTCAAGAATGGTCTTGATGGAACCGGACCCGCCAGTTGACCAGGTGATGGGATCCGGCAGTTGGTGACGATGCCCGGTCCCTCAGATGACGCCATGGTTGCTGGATGGGGGTACGGTTGCCGGGTCAGGGCAGTTGAAGTTGGATCCGGTGCAAGTGGTGTGGTGCACATGGATCCGGTCACCTACATTAGGACCTCCTGGATTAGGACCTCCTGGATTAGGTATGGATCCGTACCAATTTATTGGTACAGTGGCTATGCTAGGATAATTAGGCAGGAAGAAGAGCCAGTAGTGGATAGGATCCAAGCCGGATGGGAAGGCTGGATACAGGCTAACATAAATCAGAGTCGAATTTGCATGGGAACCACACACTTGGTCCTTAGTATTGGGATTAGTATTGACCCATACTTTAATCAAGTGATTTGCCCCCCCCCCCGCACACATCACCGTAGACTCTGAAATACATTTCAGAGAACATGGCTCAGCATCTTCAAGCCGTCCGGCTTCTCGGGTCCTTGCGTCTCCTGCGTCTCCTCGTCGGCTTCAACGGCTTCAACGTCTTCGCACAGCATTCGCTGCAGCTCGGTATTGGTGGCGTTCGCAGCGTGGAGCTGTTTGGCGAACAGCGCCACCTTCCTCTTCTCAGCTCGCAACTGGAAGTGCAAGTCAGCCTTTTAACTTTTTTTCGAGTTCGAGCACGCTCTTCAGTACCACAACATGTTTTTCAGCTTTCTCGTACTGCTCTTGAATCTCCTTGTTCTCCCTCTCCAGTAGCTCCAACTTCGTGCGCAGCGTACCGATCTCCTTCTGCTGCTGAGTAGTAGCTACTGTGCCTTCCTTCGCCTTGACACCCGCCTTGGCGTCGTGGTCCTTCAGCTCCCTGGCGCGCTTGCCTCGCGTGCAGATGCGACTCAGCGTGCCGCGATTAATCTTGAGTGGGGGGGGGGGGGGGCAGGCGCGCATCTCCGCAGTGATGCACGCCCACTTCGTGCCGTGGAAGACCTCGGCCAGCTCTGTGGTAAGAAGATCCGCTCAAGAATGGTCTTGATGGAACCGGATCCGCCAGTTGACCAGGTGATGGGATCCGGTAGTTGGTGACGATGCCCGGTCCCTCAGATGACGCCATGGTTGCTGGATGGGGGTACGGTTGCCGGGTCAGGGCAGTTGAAGTTGGATCCGGTGCAAGTGGTGTGGTGCACAATGGATCCGGTCACCTACATTAGGACCTCCTGGATTAGGACCTCCTGGATTAGGTATGGATCCGTACCAATTTATTGGTACAGTGGCTATGCTAGGATAATTAGGCAGGAAGAAGAGCCAGTAGTGGATAGGATCCAAGCCGGATGGGAAGGCTGGATACAGGCTAACATAAATCAGAGTCGAATTTGCATGGGAACCACACACTTGGTCCTTAGTATTGGGATTAGTATTGACCCATACTTTAATCAAGTGATTTGCCCCCCCCCCCGCACACATCACCGTAGACTCTGAAATACATTTCAGAGAACATGGCTCAGCATCTTCAAGCCGTCCGGCTTCTCGGGTCCTTGCGTCTCCTGCGTCTCCTCGTCGGCTTCAACGGCTTCAACGTCTTCGCACAGCATTCGCTGCAGCTCGGTATTGGTGGCGTTCGCAGCGTGGAGCTGTTTGGGGAACAGCGCCACCTTCCTCTTTTCAGCTCGCAACTGGAAGTGCAAGTCAGCCTTTTAACTTTTTTTCGAGTTCGAGCACGCTCTTCAGTACCACAACATGTTTTTCAGCTTTCTCGTACTGCTCTTGAATCTCCTTGTTCTCCCTCTCCAGTAGCTCCAACTTCGTGCGCAGGGTACCGATCTCCTTCTGCTGCTGAGTAGTAGCTACTGTGCCTTCCTTCGCCTTGACACCCGCCTGGGGGTGGGGGTCCTTCAGCTCCCTGGCGCGCTTGCCTCGCGTGCAGATGCGACTCAGCGTGCCGCGATTAATCTTGAGTGGGGGGGGGGGGGGGCAGGCGCGCATCTCCGCAGTGATGCACGCCCACTTCGTGCCGTGGAAGACCTCGGCCAGCTCTGTGGTAAGAAGATCCGCTCAAGAATGGTCTTGATGGAACCGGATCCGCCAGTTGACCAGGTGATGGGATCCGGCAGTTGGTGACGATGCCCGGTCCCTCAGATGACGCCATGGTTGCTGGATAGGGGTACGGTTGCCGGGTCAGGGCAGTTGAAGTTGGATCCGGTGCAAGTGGTGTGGTGCACAATGGATCCGGTCACCTACATTAGGACCTCCTGGATTAGGACCTCCTGGATTAGGTATGGATCCGTACCAATTTATTGGTACAGTGGCTATGCTAGGATAATTAGGCAGGAAGAAGAGCCAGTAGTGGATAGGATCCAAGCCGGATGGGAAGGCTGGATACAGGCTAACATAAATCAGAGTCGAATTTGCATGGGAACCACACACTTGGTCCTTAGTATTGGGATTAGTATTGACCCATACTTTAATCAAGTGATTTGCCCCCCCCCCCCGCACACATCACCGTAGACTCTGAAATACATTTCAGAGAACATGGCTCAGCATCTTCAAGCCGTCCGGCTTCTCGGGTCCTTGCGTCTCCTGCGTCTCCTCGTCGGCTTCAACGGCTTCAACGTCTTCGCACAGCATTCGCTGCAGCTCGGTATTGGTGGCGTTCGCAGCGTGGAGCTGTTTGGCGAACAGCGCCACCTTCCTCTTCTCAGCTCGCAACTGGAAGTGCAAGTCAGCCTTTTAACTTTTTTTCGAGTTCGAGCACGCTCTTCAGTACCACAACATGTTTTTCAGCTTTCTCGTACTGCTCTTGAATCTCCTTGTTCTCCCTCTCCAGTAGCTCCAACTTCGTGCGCAGCGTACCGATCTCCTTCTGCTGCTGAGTAGTAGCTACTGTGCCTTCCTTCGCCTTGACACCCGCCTTGGCGTCGTGGTCCTTCAGCTCCCTGGCGCGCTTGCCTCGCGTGCAGATGCGACTCAGCGTGCCGCGATTAATCTTGAGTGGGGGGGGGCGCAGGCGCGCATCTCCGCAGTTATGCACGCCCACTTCGTGCCGTGGAAGACCTCGGCCAGCTCTGTGGTAAGAAGATCCGCTCAAGAATGGTCTTGATGGAACCGGATCCGCCAGTTGACCAGGTGATGGGATCCGGCAGTTGGTGACGATGCTCGGTCCCTCAGATGACGCCATGGTTGCTGGATGGGGGTACGGTTGCCGGGTCAGGGCAGTTGAAGTTGGATCCGGTGCAAGTGGTGTGGTGCACATGGATCCGGTCACCTACATTAGGACCTCCTGGATTAGGACCTCCTGGATTAGGACCTCCTGGATTAGGACCTCCTGGATTAGGACCTCCTGGATTAGGACCTCCTGGATTAGGTATGGATCCGTACCAATTTATTGGTACAGTGGCTATGCTAGGATAATTAGGCAGGAAGAAGAGCCAGTAGTGGATA